CTGTGCCCCAGGAGCCCCCACTCCCTTCTCAAGGCCTAGGATCGAACCCAGGTGTCCTGGCTCCCAGCCCCCCTGCTCTGACCCTCCAGACCCCACTGCTGTCCCCAAACTGGAGAACCCAGGCGTCCGGGCCCCTTCTCTACACCTCCGGGCTCCCACTCCCCTCCCTCTCCTGGTGCTCCCCCTTGACTGACCCCTGCCTCCTTGGCCCCTCCATCCCAGCCACCCCCTTCGTGGAGCAGGTGAAGGAGCTGCAGCTGAGCCGGGACGACTTTGAGATCCTCAAGGTCATTGGCCGCGGCGCCTATGGGGAGGTGAGTGTCCCGGGGGGGTTCATTTGGGGCTGGCGGTAGAGCTTGCCCTGTCTGCAGTCCTGCCCATTACCCCATTACCCTGGGCGTGCTAGGGAGGAGGGTCACAGGCCCTGCAGTACCTGACACTGCCTCTGGGGGTATGGGGGGGTCTCAGGTCCTGCAGTTCTGCCCCCTGCCCCTATGGGGCTACAGGGGAGGGGTCCACAGGCCCTGCAGTTCTGCCCCCTGCCCCTATGGGGCTACAGGGGAGGGGTCCACAGGCCCTGCAGTTCTGCCCCTGCCCCTATGGGGCTACAGGGGAGGGGGTCCACAGGCCCTGCAGTTGGTCCACAGGCCCTGCAGTTCTGCCCCTGCCCCTATGGGGCTACAGGGGAGGGGGTCCACAGGCCCTGCAGTTCTGCCCCCTGCCCCTATGGGGGCTGAATCCCCAGTGCAGTCCTGCCTGCTGCCACCGAGGGGCGCCGGGGTGCCGTGCCCCAACATGGGTACCTTTTGGGGGGAGGTTTTTGGGGTCCCCGGGTGCTCTCCAACCCCGTCCCCCCCAGGTGGCGGTGGTGCGGCTGCGGGGCAGTGACCGCGTCTACGCCATGAAGATCCTGCACAAGTGGGAGATGCTGAAGCGTGCTGAGGTACCAGGGACCCCCACCCCCACTGGGGACCCCCAAAGCCTGAGACCCCCATGAGTCCCATAGCAGGTCCCCCCAACCCTGAGCCCGCTCCAAGCCCCCTGTCCATATCAGGGCCCCCCCAAACCCTGACACCTGCCTGAACCCCAGGTCAGGACTCCCCAGCCCCAGATTGGCCCCTCCCATACCCAGGACCC